GAAAACGAATGGAAAAAGATATGCAAAACATGTCAATATAATCTGTTTTAGTATTAGATAATAGATCAAGCTAGAAAGTGTAAGATACAGTAACAAATTAGTGCGCAATCAACCACCCTATTAAGATTGCATAGTAAATAGATAGGAAAAAAACGTCCTAATTAAAGCAAAACACAAATATAAACGCGCCGATTCCTATCATTCACCGCTCATATAAAGAGGTAAATAGATAAAAAAAAAAATATTCAGTGTTGATTCAATATCACACGAAAGCTTTTCGTCAATCTAACCTCAGAATCACTTAAAAGAATAAAGCATAATAAAAAGAAAGAATATATGTATGTATGTATGTATATATATATATATATATATATATATATATATATATATATGTATATATATATATATATATATATATATATATATATATATATATATAGATAGATAGATATATATATATATATATGTATATGTGTATATATGTATATATATATATATATATATATATATATATATATATATATATATATATATATATATATATATATATATATATATATATATATATACATATATATATATATATATATATATATATATATATATATATATATATATATATATATATATATATATATAATTTTAGTAATATGATATAAATAGAGAGCCTCCGCCTGTCTTACCTGAAGGTGAGGATGGTGAGCGGCCGGAACGACTTGTGCGAGAGGGGGTCGGACATGGGCTTCCCCCAGTAGTCGTTGAGGAAGACGTGCGAGAGCGGCGTCGTCGCCAGCACGTCTGGGTTGGTCTTGATAGCGCTGACGTCATCGTGCACGAAGTCCCCCGAGAGGCCGTTGACGTAGACGAGCACCCCGGCCACCCACACCGTCATGTACACCCAGGTGGGCGGCGGGTCCTCGCCCTCGTAGGCATCGTGGGCGTGGAATTCCTGGTGGCTTGAGGGCGAGGCGGACTTGCGCCGTCTCCTCGGGGAGCTCTGGCACGACGAGACGCAGCCGCCGCCTGCGACATCCATGACCTGACCTCGCCTCGCCCGACCCGCAGGGGAATGTGGTAGGGGCTCGGTTCAAGGTGCCAGAGGGGCGCACGGGTCCAGGTCTCAGGTCGTCACAGGTCACAGCGTAACAGGAGCGGCGAACTTGTCATCATTAAATCACACATCACTATACAAACACTTTCGTCCATCAATGACTATCTTTCGATATTTCATCACTATTTCACACTTGGGACATTGAGATTTTTTATTTCTTTTTTTTTGTCCTGATAATCTGAAACTAATTAAAAAAGAGAGAAAAAATATTAGCCACATTTAACGTGTATAAGAGTGTCATCACGCATTAATTTTATGCCAAACTTTTTGCTGGAAAATAAATGTACAAAGAATCCTATCGAGCATTATAACGGATAATCGAGGATATGGCCGTGGCCAAGGTCAAGCCAAGGGAACAGGGCCTTTGCTTCGTCAAAGGACAGATTTCATTGATTACAAAGGATACACTTAATCAATTACGAAACATACAATTCAATTAATCGCAACCGACTCGAGATATGCGCCAATTAATCCCAACCGACTCGAGATATGCGCCAAGGAAAACGACAATTGTGGAATAATGAGATAAGAGATGATTAATGCATATATGTGTAGGGAGTATATTTGTGTGCCCGAGTATACGTTAGAGATTGAGAGAGAGAGAGAGAGAGAGAGAGAGAGAGAGAGAGAGAGAGAGAGAGAGAGAGAGAGAGAGAGAGAGAGAGAGAGAGAGAGAGAGAGAGAGAGAGAGAGAGAGAGAGAGAGAGAGAGAGAGAGAGAGAGAGAGAGAGAACGGGACACACACACACACACACACACACACACACACACACACACACACACACACACACACACACACACACACACACACACACACACACACACACACACACACATTGCGCGGCAATGAACAAACACACAAACCATCCGGAAACAAACCCAAAAATGTAACAAATCCCTAGCGGTCATTTGGCGCAGCGGAACAAAAGCCCCGTGTTGACCGACGTCCACGGAGGCCGCGCGGACAACACACGTAACAACACAGTGCAAACTCTCCCGGGTCGTTCGGTGATCTCACGCACGAGAGGAGCGGAGAGGGGTCGGCCTTACCTCCCACCCTACCCGCTGCCCACCGTCCACCTCCCACCGCCCACCTCCCACCGCCCACCTCCCACCGCCCACCGCCCACCTCCCATCGCCCACCGTCCAGCTACTGTCCTGCTCTCTCTATTCTACACTTGTCCCCCGTCACTCTGTCTATCATCGCCCACCACCCACCACCACCCTTTCCCCACTCCCCTTTACCCACCACCCATCCGCCTCTCGCCGCCCACGCATCGCCCCCACTCACCCTCCAACCCACCGACCCCATTCACTCACCCACCCACTCACTCACCTTCCATACCAACGCTCCCACTCATTCTCAAACTCACTCTCCCTCCTACCCTCCGCTCCTACTCACCCTCCAGTCCACCGCCCACCGCCTCCACCCACCCTTCGCCCGCCCGCCCGCCCGCCCGCCCGTCCATCCATCCGTCCGTCCGTGCTGTTTACCCACGCCCCTCCCGCCGCCGGCCCTTGGCACCAGGCACCCTCCATTAAGACACGAGTCCACGAGTCCCCGACGAAGGAAATTACCACGGGGCTGAGGACATTAGAGCTGAGGTCGGGGGAGTAAACAGGTCTAAAACGAGGCACTTAACCCCAGCTTGACCTGCAAGTAATGTAGGTACGCCAGCTGCTCCTGTTGTAATAGTCACATTCCGGGATATATGTAATGATGGTGGGTTCTGAAAGGGGACAGAGATGCTGGGATGCTGGGATGCGCGGTGGTGTCACGGACGGTCGAGGAGACGCGAGGGAGAGGCGGTGTGTGTGTGTGTGTGTGTGTGTGTGTGTGTGTGTGTGTGTGTGTGTGTGTGTGTGTGTGTGTGTGTGTGTGTGTGTGTGTGTGTGTGTGTGTGTGTGTGTGTGTGTGATAAGGAGAGCAGAGTAGGGATAAGGTAGTTGAAAGGCTGAATGGAAAGCTTAAGAAAGAGCTTAATGCTTTTCATAACGAATGACAGAGTACTAACTCTCTCTTCCTTCCCCCACTCCTCTTATCCTTCATTCTCCTCATCCTCTACCTCTTCTCCCTACTTCTCCTCTTCCTCCTTCTCCTTCTCCCTCTCCCCATCCCCCTTCCCTACCCATCCCCCTCCCCTCCTCTTCCCCCTCCCACTCCCCCTCCCGCTCCTCCATCACCACCTCCTCCTTTTTCCCCCTTTCTTCTTCCTCTTCCTCCTCCTCCTCCTTCTCCACCCCCCTTCTTCGCCCTCTTCCTCCTCGTCCTCCTCCTCCCCCTACTCTCCCTCCACCTACCCTGACCTTTTCCTCCTCGAAATCACAACCCACACAGAGGGCACTCCCCCTGACCCCCCCCCCCTCCTCCTCCGAGCACCGCCCTTTTTAGTATCTTCTTCAGTATCTTCAAGGTTCCTCCACGACCAGGGACATTTTCAGGAACGACTTACAGAGAGAGAGTCTTCCACCAGAATGGCACTTGGCAATGGTTACTTAAAGGGAATGAACCGGAGCTAAAGATGTGAGAATACAGTTCGATATTCGAGAGCGTAATGCAATGTGGTTTTCCGCCTTTTCTGTTATTTTTCTTTTTCCTTTTCTTGTTTTTTTTTCTAATAGTTTCCTTTTCTTTTCGTTTTTTTTTTGTTGTTGTTGCTGTCTTCCCCTTTCTTCTTCTTCTTCACACACGCAAACACACACAGCGAGAGAGAAAGAGTGAGAAAGAAAGAAAGAGAGAGAGAGAGAGAGAGAGAGAGAGAGAGAGAGAGAGAGAGAGAGAGAGAGACAGAGAGAGAGAGAGAGAGAGACAGAGAGAGAGAGAGAGAGAGAGAGAGAGAGAGAGAGTGAGAGAGAGAGAGAGAGAGAGAGAGAGAGAGAGAGAGAGAGAGAGAGAGAGAGAGAGAGAGAGAGATTGATAAATAAGTAGACAGACAGACGGAGAGAGAGAAAGAATGTTTCTGGTAGGAATTTAGGTGTTGCCAGTGGGAGTGGATTACAGTTGCATCATGTGTTATATGCAGTCACATGAATCGATACATTCTGCAGATTTAATGTATAACATTATTGAATTTATTGTATTACAATACTGTTTTATTGCAGTTATTATGTAATAACTCTCATACACATGTTATTCTTCCTAGTCGCATTTTCTCTTGCTCTTCTTCTTTCATATTTTTCTCTGTTTTGCCCCTCTCCTCCTCTTCTTCCTTTCCTTCTCCTTCCTCTTCTTCGTCGTCCTCCCTCTTCTATTATTCCTCCGATTTCCCTTCTTCTTTTTCCTCAACCCCCCCCCTCCTCTTCCACCTCCTCCTCTTCCTCCACCTCACTCCTCCCCCTCCTTCTCCTCATCCTCTTCCTCATCTTTTTTCTTCTTCTCCTCCTTCTCCTCTCTTTCCTGTTATTCCTCCTTCTCCTTCTCCTTCTCCTCCTCCTCCTCCCCCTCCTCCTTACAATTGCTAATGGCATTTTAGTAATTTCTAAAATATATTCCTTTATCTGTTGCTAGAGTACGCTATCGATCGATACACTCATAACCATAAAGATAATAATGAAGTATCTTTTCTTTCTTACTTTCTATTGACTCTTTCCTTCTATGTGAAAAAAATGTAATTTCTAATTTATATTTTACTTGTTCATTATTGATGCATTCATTTTCATTATCATTTTTATTGATATGATTAAATCATTATCATTAATAGGCCTACCATTAATGCTATTATTGTTTTCAATGTTACTATAATCATTATTTTCGTTACCATTATGATGTCTATCATAATCCCCATCATCAACAATTACAACAAAATCAGCAACAACATCATTATCAACGTCGTTACCATTGCCATCATTAACGTTATCATTATCCCCATTCTCATTATCAGCCACGAGACGAAAGCCATGATTCGTCAATACTAACAGGGAAAGGACAAGGAAATGCAACATGACGTCAAAAACAGCTGTACGTACTAATACGGGGCCGTTTTCTTCTTAGTTGTTATTAATCGATAGCGACATTATTTTTTATTCATTAATAAATATTTTCCTTTTTGGAGTGAGGATGTAATTATTAGTGAGAATAGAAGAATAGAAGGATGAGGGGGTTGAGGTAGAGGAGGAGGAGGAGGAGGAGGAGGAGGAGGAGGAGAAGGAGGAAGAGGAGGAGGAGGAAAAGAAGGAGGAGGAGGAGGAGGAGGAGGAGGAGGAGGAGGAGGAGGAGGAGGAGGAGGAGGAGGAGGAGGAGGAGGAGGAGGGGGAGGAGGAAAGAGGAGGAGGAGGAGGAGGAGGAGAAGGGAGAAGAGGACGCGGTTGATGAAGCGTAAAAGAAGGAGGACCACGATGGCGAAGAGAAAGAGGGTGTGAGGAAGAGAAAGAGGAGGAGGAGGAAGGGGAAAAGGAGGAGGAAGGGGGAAAAACTGACGGGAGAAACGGCAGCGAAAACAACGAATTAGGAGGCGATGGAGGAGGAGGACAAGGAATGATAATGGTGATAATGAACGATAATACATGGCGTAAATGAAAATTACCCAAAAAATGACTCGAGACTGATTGAAAAGACGATAAAGTTAATGACTGCAAAGATAACAGACATGTGCGTATTAATGACGATAGTTACGATAATATAGGAGAGGAAAAATCAAGAAAATAAGCAAAAAAGAGAAGAGGAGAGGGAGAAGAGAGGAGGAGAAGAAGATGAATAAAGTTAATGAAGGAGGGGAAAGAGAGGAGAGGGAGAGAAGGAGGTAAAACAGGAGCACAACAAAAAGAGAATGATCAGTTGGTGAAAGAAAAGATTAACTGGAAGAGGAATGTTGAGGAAAAGATAAAAAGGCGCTGAGAGAGAGAAAAAAAGAGAGAGGTGAGAGAGAGAGAGAGAGAGAGAGAGAGAGAGAGAGAGAGAGAGAGAGAGAGAGAGAGAGAGAGAGAGAGAGACAGACAGACAGACAGACAGACAGACAGACAGACAAACAAACAGTCAGACAAACAGACAGACAGAAAGAAAGAAAGAGAAAGAGAAAAGAAGAAACGAAAATGTTTAGACCCCCCCCAAAAAAAAACAAAAAAAAAAAAAACGGCATACTGAGTATTTACCAAAATGTAAAGAAAATGGGAATAAAGAAAAATGAGAAATATTGGAGGCTGAAAGTGCGCAGTCGACCATCCTAAGGTAAGACACTGATCACTCCC